TAATTAATCCCTTTTCATTCGACTTTTCCCTTTTTTTTTTTTTTTTTTTAACTTCCTCGAGTCTCCTGGCAAAACTCATTGCATATTCATAGCCCAGCCGAGCGTTCCCCTCCCCTCTCCCCATCGGTGTTCCTGGCAGTACATCCCCCCCGAGCCAAGCAACCACCACGCGTCCCCAAGATGAGCTGGGGGGGGTAGGTAGGGAACCAGCAACCAGCAAGATTTTGGAAAAGCCTTCGGCACCCCGAGGCTGCCAGAGCTTTGCCCGTGCTGGGATGGTGGCTTTGCTCCAGCTAATTTAATAACCCGGTAGCAAGGCAACGCTGTGCCAGGCTAAAGAGGTTTCCCATGGCAGGAAGGCAGCAGACGAGCCAGGAGATGCTGGTTTCTCCAACTAGGCCCCTGCAGCATGTTCCCATTATCAAATCAGGAGTGACTGATGACATTTCTCCCTAGTTGGTGGTCTGTCAGCTGGAGGAGGGATGTGGCAGAGCCTGGGGAGCCCGCTCGCAGCCGTTGGGGGGCAGCTGTGGCACCGAGGTGCAGAGAGGAGGAGAAGAACCTTCAGGCTCTGGGGAACTAATCTGAGCACCAAGCTGTAGCTACGCTCCAGGAGAAGATGTATCGATGAGGGCAACCCTGGCGGTTGGCCGATGAGAACGGTGCTGCTTGGTAGATTTCTTCTGGCACTCTGGTTTGACGGTGATAAGTGCAGAATCAGACCTCAGATGCTGTTTGGGTGCCTCGGGAAGGATTACTGGAGGTGAATAAATGCTGCTTTAGAGGTCATCTCCTAAGCTTTGAGCCCCACTGCCCAGTAACACAACAGATGCTTTGCCGCATCTCTAGAAGCACCACTTGTATCACGACTGAAGTCCCAATGCCGCTCTCCTCGCTGGTGGAGTCACCTTCTGTTGGCTTCTCCAGCTCTCCCACCGCCGGCGCAGCGAGCAGGCAGTCCTCAGAAGGACCCGAGGTGTTGGGGACAGAGGGTCCTGCTCCGTGTGGGCTCCCTTTTCACATCAGCCCAGGGCTTCGTTCATGTCCCCATGCAGGAACCGGGTTAGCTGTCCCTACCACAGGGCTTGTTCGCCCTCCGCGGTGACGGGCTGCCTTGGGTGACACTACGGTGACTGCAACGCTTGGCAGTCTGGGTGTAAAGGTGTTGGGGGAGGCAAGAGAGGCCACACGTACGGCATGGGTTGTGTTGGTTTTCAGATGGACTAAATCCTAGGTCTTAAGTATGGGAAATCTTGAAGACAAGCAGGACAATTATGCTGGTGGATGCTCATGGTGGCTTCAGGTTGCCCAGAGAAGCTGTGACTGCCCCATCCGTGGAAGTGTTCCAGGCCAGGTTGGATGAGGCTTTGAGCAACCTGGTGTAGTGGAAGGTGTCCCTGCCCGTGGCACGGGGTTTGGAATGAGATGATCTTTGAGGTCCCTTCCAAACCAAACCATTCTGTGATTCCATGACTTACCATACGCCTTCATTTTCTCTTGTGCATTGAAGATATCCTCGTTCATCAATATTAAACCCATCAGTCAGGGTGTGCTTTGGGGCATCCGAGAGCTCATGGAGCCATCTGGATAAGAGACTGGCTCATTGCCGCTCTCAACCACCCTCTTCCTCATCTCCCCCAGCTCCCACCTTGGCTTCTCCATCCAGGCCTGGTACTTTTGTTTCCTTCAGATACCCTCTGTGATTTCTTCCTCCTTCATGGATGCCCCTTCTCACTTGACTTCTCCCCAAGGTTTTCTCTTCCTTCTGATCCCTGGGTGGTGAGGGATGCAGTAGCCATCTAGCATCGTTCTGTCAAAGGCTTGAGAAGGGATTTCTTCTGGATAGAAGGTCTCTAACGTTGTGCCGATGGCCCGGCAGCGAAGTGGTGCAGGGCTTCTTCTTGAAACCCTGCCCAGATCTGCTCGTCTTCTTGGGTGCTGCACCCCAAAATAATACTGGCTCACATCTGTCACGAGAAACAGCAGCTCCAAGAGGCGTAATCATCTCTGCATTGTCTTAGCTCCGAGCACTGACATCAACATTGTTCTTCTGGGGCTGATCTTCTCTTTGTATCTCGGTGGGCTCTGGGGAGGTGATGCATATTTGCCAAAGATATGTTCTGACCGAGGAGGAAACGCGGGTGCAAACTCGGTCCGGTTGATTGCGCGTTCCTGCGAGCGTGCCTAACGAGCCTTAATTTGCTTTTTCCTTCCTCTTTCGCTGATGCAGCTGAAGAACAAATTCATGAAGAAGTTGCCCCGTGATGCTGAGGCCTCCAACGTGCTGGTGGGGGAGGTGGATTTCCTGGAGAGCCCTTTCATCGCCTTCGTCCGGCTGCAGCAGGCGGTCATGCTGGGGGCCCTCACCGAGGTCCCCGTGCCCACCCGGTAAGCGGTCGCAGCCACCGGGCAGCGGACGGGAATCGGGAACTGCGTTTCCACTTTTTCAAGTGAGACGTTCCGCGTTGCTGTCCGTCGTGCGGAACGGCCACGGTCGTTGGTTTCGAGGAACAAAACTCACTGCAGCCACTTCATAATTTTCGGGTCCTGAGTTTGGTTATAGGATAGAAGCTGTGAAACACACAAACGTTCCACAAACACACTAACAGAACAACTTAGCAGAGTTAAATTTAACTCCCGGGACTTTTTTCCTGCCCCTTATGATTCCCTCCCACCAACGCACACTGTACGTAGCCCAGATTCCCTCTGCACGTTTTTGCAGTCCGTATTTTTCCCCTTAAAAACTCCTATTAGATGAAAGATGCTCTTCTGGCCCCTGGGGTGGGGAGAAAAAAAAAAAAAGAGTCAGGTAAACTGAGGCATGCAGTGCTGTCAGGGCTGGTCACACCGTGTGTCGCTTTGTAACGCGTAACAGTTGGGAGAAAAATGACATATGAGTATTTTTTCTTGTGGCTTGTGCTGCAAATTAATCCGAGTCTCACAAATCCCTGGAGACGTTCAAGGCCAGGTTGGACGAGGCCCTGAGCAACCTGATCTAGTTGGAGATATCCCTGTTCCTTGCAGGGGGGTTGGACTAGATGACCTTTGAAGGTCCCTTCCAGCCCTAACCATTCTATGATTCTAAATAGGACTATATCTTCTGTTCTTAAATATTGGAAATCGCTGCTTGAATATGCGTAACTGTCGGTACAGCGGGGGGTGTATATCTGCCAGAGGAGCAAAACTCAAGTCCCATTTGAATTCCTAGCAGGAATTAGCTAGGAATGGCTAATTGCAAAGTCATATTTTCCGTGAAGGGTTCTCAGGGCTTTCAGGACAGAGCGAGAGCTGCGGTTTGGGTAAGGACTGCAGGGTCTGAGGCTGTACCGAGTATTTTTTTGTGAGAAGAGATGTAGAACCAGAACAAAAACACGTGGCTGGGGCATTACCGGTACCGGAATGAACCGCAGCCCTTGTACAGAACAAAAGTTATGTGGTCGTTACAAGCTGTACCTTAATTCCGTGCACGAAACAAAGGGAGAAGGTGATCCAGTGTTGCTGTTTGTTTAATTGCCTTCTAGTAACGCGGCACCGTTGGTGTTTCTTAGAGCTTCGTTGAGTGGCTCCTGACAATGACCACGTCAACGACCGTTGGCACGCACCGAGTATTCTGGTAGGAGGCTGGGAAGGTTCAAGCAGCTCAGTTTTATAAAAGGTTATTCTTCGTTCCTCAGCGTTACCGAGCTCTGTATACTCCAGTATTTCAGCTTCCAAGTCTAATCCCACTTGTTCTTTTTTTTTTTTTTTTTAACAAAACATCTCGGAATGCTTTTCAGCAGCTGTAGAACAAGGTATTGTTTGTTTTGGTGTAGTGGGAGCCAGGAAGTCACATCTAGGATTGCTGAATGACCTCATTCCTCAATAGCATTAATCAAGACAATATGTCCATCCATGCCAACTTTTTTTTTTTTTTCCCCAGGAAATAGTATTATCCATTTGCCATCCTTCAAACCAAACGCTAGCCCTAATCAGAGCAGGGAGGCTCATTAGATGGCTTCCGTGAGGAGCGAAGAGCCATTTGCAACGGCTGCATCCTGTGAAATTCAATCAAGGAGATCCCAGCGGGGCCCAGACGAGCCCTGATGGAGCATCTCCTCCGTCAGCGCCGAGCCCTGGCCATCGCGCCTAGCAGGACTTACGCTTAACAGCCCTCAGACTCCGCAAGATGCTGGAGCTGGAGCCTTTGGCATACGCCCTCCTCCTCCTCTCCCTTGGGGCTTCTGCTTTTGTTTTGTTAAATTACCAAGTTCCTGGGAAAACAGTCCAAACTGGGCAGCGCCAAAGCACCTGGGGTTTCTGGATAGCCAGGAGCTGACGTTCCAGCGCCGTGGGTTGCTGAGGAGCACGGTGACCCAGGTCTGTCAAGTAACGCAGCGTGACCCATGCCTGTCGAGCTTTTTAGGAAGCAGCAGGTTGTTTTCATGTGGGGCAGGCATCAGGGGGTTAAGAACCCAGGTTTCAGCACAAGGCTCCGGGCACACTGGTCTGTAACGCAGCAGCGGGGAGGTGGCCTGTTCCTGCAGTGATGTAGATTGATGGAATGGTTTGAGTTGAAAGGGACCTCAAAGATCATCCAGTTCCAACCCCCCTGCCATGGGCAGGGACGCCCTCCACTACACCAGATTGCTCAAAGCCTCATCCAACCTGGCCTTGAACACTGCCAGTACTGGGGCATCCACAGCTTCTCTGGGCAACCTGTTCCATTGCCTCACCACCCTCAGTGTAAAAGATTTCTTCCATAGATCTCATCACTATCTCCCCTCTTCCAGTTTAAAGCCATTGCCCCGTGTCCTGTCACTGGACACCCTTGTCAAAAGCGTGTGCTAAAACACACAAAGGCACGGCTGGAGGTGCCTTTGCACAAAAACCCAGTTGATGTTTCTGGTGTGCTGTGTTAGGTGAGAAATCTCGTCATCTTCAGCAACTACAGACCCACCAAATACTTCCCGGGAGCTGGAGAAGTGCCTTGCCCTTAAGAGGTGGCGGTCATGGGGCTTGTTGGATCAGTTGCAGAGGAATGGGGAAGGTCTTCCCGAGGAGCTGGGAGAAGGGAGAAAACGTTCCCTACTACGGTGTCACAGGGCTTGCAGAAGTTCAGAAGAAGAAATTCATGAAGCCATCTTGATGTTTTGCTTTTCAAAGGGTTTGCAGGGAGAGGGCAGGACAGCTTTCATGAGACGAGCTGAGAATCAGCACGTCAACTGCATCCATTAGCTGGGCACATAAAGCATCACCTCGACCTGGTGATGGAGAAGCAAATATGACACCGAGCCCTGCAGAAGTGAAAAACTCGTGGTATCTATAGTCCCTGCCTGGTTTTGGATTATTCGTGTTGCCTCAGTACTGTAGAGAGAACACAGAATTATTGCGTGCATGAGGTAGACAGCGTTCCACGTGTAGACTTACAGTTAAATAGGTTGCTTATTTCTGCTGATTTTTTTTATTCTGTTTTTTTCATCCACACATACTTCAGCTTGGATTTTTCTTCTAAGTTACAGAATTTTGGACACTTTGTACAAGTAAGATTTCCTGTGTCGAAACGACTCTTCCTTGGATACCTAAATTTTCCGTATTTTTTACCCTTCGTGCTTCCTTGCTAAGTATTTTAAATATTTCCTTTACTTGAAAGTAAATTTCTACTTAAAAGAAACCAGCACGTTCTGATGAACTCTCCAGGAAAAGTTTCTCAACAGGGTGTTTCCACACAGCCCTAGTAATAAAAATGGAGGATCTGAAATGGGTATAGGGTGATGCCAGCCTTTCCCTGCGTCGTGTCGTCTTTTCGTCGATGAGATTGGAAAAAAACCTTGAAGGACTTGGGTTTTCTCACGTTGAGTTTAATTCCACAGCGCCACGAACTCCTAATTTTGGCAAGCACCGAGTTACTGCTTCTCCTCTGGACGTGATGCAATAGAAGTAGCTTTTTATTTTCATAAAAGAAACGTGTAATTATGTGCTCAGGTCTGCTGCAGCCGCGTTAATGTAAGGTAGATGGGGGAAAAAAGATGAAGAATGTGCAAGAGAAAGATTTTTTGGGGAGATAAGCTGTACAGACTTGCACAGTAGTGCTGGGGAATTGCCTGCGTCTACAAGTCTCAAATGAAATGAAGTAACTTGCCCAAAGGTCACTTGGGAAGCGTGTGGCACAACCAGGAGTCAGGTTCTCCTCCCTCATCTCCTAACTTGAGCTTTTAACTGCAAAGGCATCGTCTCTTCTTCCTAGGTGAGGTGGAAACGTGTGTCTTGTTCATGAATCACAGCGTTGAAATGGTTTTCAGGGCTCTGTCCTTTAGCAGCCTTTCCATCAGAAAGACTTGCTCTGGGAAATGGGAGCTCTGGCAGCGAAGGACTACCTTTGTGTGTCTGCCTTCACGCGTGGGCCACCATGGGAGAAGCCTACAATGTTGGTACGTTGCCCACAAACTTGAAAGCTCACCTGTGTGAAATAGAAGACGGACCAAACGCGTCACCGTCTCCTTTCATGGCTGCAGTCTCAAGTTGTGCTCCTTTCTTCAGCACTCCAAGCCATGGATTCTGCTGGAAGAGTACTTGAAGTGGTTGTTCTTTCAGCCCTCGGGTCCACCAACATGTATCATTATGCTGGACACCTTGCAGGCATGTCATGTGGTGACCAACAACAGAGGGACTGCTTCCCCCACCCCTCTCAAAAAGAAAAATATTTTCTCCTGGACCTTGCTGAGTTTCCATTTTTTAACCCTTAGAGAGTTGCAGCTCTTGCTTGCTCCAGGTTTGAGAGAGACGTGGATGAGCAGGCTGAACTTGAAATCTTGTTTTAGTTTTTCTTTCTCTTTTTTTTTTTTTTTTTTTTTTTTAATTTCGAGGGTGGGGATGGAGACGAGAGATGGGACAGGGGACTACCTTGTCTCCTGCACTGATGGTCAGCTTGCAAAGAGACCGTGGTGAGACTTGGTCCTGGGACAGTTTTCACCCTGACCCTTACCCCATATGGGAAGTGGATCGTCATGAACGTTACGGATTTCTTGCAGGATGTCCCAGGTGGATGGCAAAATATTATTTGCTGCACTGACTTTGGAACCTGTCTGTGTTGTGGTCACTTCCCACCTCCTAAGTGTGCTCTTCGTGGTATTTCGTGGAGGTTTCTAGCCAAATTTCTCAGAAGCACAGCTCCTAAAGCCTTGTTGCCTCCTTGGGCAAACTAGATGGAAATTCTGCCCCACAGTCTCTGGGTCTCCTCCTGCTGAGGTCCAGGAGGGTTACGCTGGCTCGTAGCAGGTTGTTGGGTCTGTAACACCTATGGCGCTGCGTTTAGATCTTCTAGGTGCATTGGCTGGGCTGACAGCGCTTTGGCCAGGGCATGTTTGTCCGTTTTGAATTGGACTTAACTCATCTGGAGAATGAATTTATTCTTGTTGGGTTTGTTGGCGTCGTCCATGTGATTAAAAGGTGAATCCTACGTAGTCGGTGGTCATCACCTGCTTCAGAAGGGTAAAGCCTGCAAAAACGACAGGAGGAATAGTGCTTTAGGTAAAAGAGAAGACTAAATTACTGAGTTTCTGGCTCATTATCAGCTTGGAAGCAAAGGACTTAGAGTCCTTTGACTTTCCTGTCACACATAGTTGAAGACCAGGTATTCTGGTTGCCCAGAGCGTTCGGGAGAAACACTGCATTTTGTTGCGACTTCGAGCTGAGCGATACGAGGTAAAACTTCACCTTCTCTGCACTGAAGCATCCTTTGCAGTGTGAAGGACGTTGGATAGCTCAGCGTGGGTCGTGAGGAGCAGAGAGGAATTCTGTGCCGACCTTGGTCTTGGCGGGTGAAGAGGAGGAGGATGTCACGACTAGAAGTGAGGGCTGTCTTAGGTGGAAGTGTTCATAACTCAATGATACGAGACGCGTGCCGACATCGTCTAGTCCAAACCTCTAAAATGCCTTAATGGGTTTGTGTTTATGATATTTTGCCCATGAAAAGGTCTTGTTCTCTGCACTGAAGGCAATTCTGAGCTGAATTTGGCAAAGAATTTGTAAAGTGTCACGAACTGCTTCTTTTCAAGAACGTTTCAGGTGCTTCTGTTGTGCCTTGGGAGAGAGCCAGCTGATGTCATTATTTCAGAAGATGGTTATGAAAACGTCTCGTTCCCCTGGAAAATCAGGCGAATGCTGAGCAGTAACTTCTGAAGTTACGAACCTTTTTAATTAATGTATTTGGATAATTTGCATCCTAGGGTTTTTTTTTTAAAAAAGAGTTGGCTGAGGAACACATTAATGTTGGTTTATAATAACTCATGAAACACAGAGAAAGTTCCAGGAGGTAGGAGGAGAGCAGAGGACATGACCTAGGTGTGTACAGCTTAGTCACCGCCGCGTGAACCTTAAGTGAAACACTTGAAAGCCTCATGAAGAGCTCTGTTAGCAAGTGTTACTGTTAGTAATGGGTATTTATTAATTTATTAATAGGTATTTATGAATCCTGTCCTACTAACTTGATGCCTTTTTTTAATAGGACTTGAGGTTTTTTTGAAAAGAGAAAGTACTTGTTTGGATATAATATACCTTAATAAGATGTTTGACTTAGCACCTGATGATATTTTGATTTAGGAAGCTAAAATAATAATTAATACATTGCTTGTAGAAGGAGGAGTACTTAAGGGCGAGGTGTCACACCTCTCAACCCTGTTGTGTTTCACGTTTTGCCAGCAGCTTTTGAGAAAACATGTCGTTAACGTCGTGAAGGTTGTGAAATAACGACGAGGGGGTCTCCGTGGCGCAGAGCCATGCGGTCATCTGCGCTTGAACTTGGCCCCAAGACATCTTCTCCCTTGAGGGTCAGAGAGTGTGGGTGGAAGAGTTGTGCTCCAATTACCAGTTTTCTCTGGGTGATGTCGTAGGTGAAAGGCTGGGGCCATCCCTGGCTGTAGCAGATTATTCCATTGGCGCTGGAACGGCTGAAACGTCATTTCGTAGAAGTATGTGCCGTGTCCTTTCCCTCCACCACGGCAATAATCCCAGCTCTCCTACATTATTTCCTAAGACTTCCCGTGCTTGTCCATACCTGAAGTCCTGTCCCCTGACTGAGTGCTCCGAGCTTCGTTTTCTCAGAAAACCAAGGCTCACATAAAGATCCTGAGTAGCCATAGATTGTTTCATCTATAGATTTGCACAGACAAAATTCCAGCTCTTGGATGATTTCCCTGAGGAGGATGCTGATACGTTGGAGAAGGTTCATGGAAGAGCTGTTGAAGTGACTAAAGAGAGGAGAAAAGGCTCAAGTGGCTTTGCCTAACTGACAGACAGCGGGTGACTGGATCCATAGGGGAGGGTATTTAAAGGAATTGAATTATGGAGGGTTCTTCAGTCTAGCTACGAGAGACAATCAAAATTGATAACTGGAAGTTGAAGCTAACCCAGATTCACACTGCAGAAGGTTTTAGAGGAGACAACTTAGCAAAGGTCATAGTGTGGTTTTTTTCCATTACTGGTTGAAAAGGACAGCTGTAATTAGAAAAAGGATTCATTCAGGAAGCTTTAAAGTTGTTTTGAGCAGCTATTAGTGTTGCTGTTTGAAACACATGCTGATTTGGAGCTTGCTGAAAATTGCCCCTGTAATTCCCAGTCTTTGCTAAATTAGGTGAAATGGAGACGTTGGTCTCCTGCCACATGACTTCTTTTGTTGCTAATTGCAAGGACGAGTTGATGGGCGAGAGAGAAAGAGACTTTTATCTCAAGGTCACTAGTTAGAGCCCAGCTCGAGCCAAACACTTGAAACGACACCATCTGACCGGCGTGACGGTCTCCACTGAAATCCCCCAGGCCACCCAACGTTGGCCATGGTGCAAGATGGCCAGCAGAAGCAACAGGGCTTTCTTGACAAGCCGGTCACCGAGGGGAAGAGGTGAGCATGAAGACAGATGTATTTTCACGTCATAGCCATGAACCAAATCTTTTTTTCTGGAACAAATCTGGACAAGAAATGTATAGGAAGCTTGTATTTGTAACAGCTGAGGCCATAGATGCTGTGTTGGTCATTCCAGGCCAGGAGGATCTAGGTACCTTTGAAGATCCAACCTTGAGGCCGTACTTAAAATGTTTTCTAATGAGTGTCGGAAAACCCAGCTACCTCTCACCAGCATTCCCGTTCATCTGACGCAACTGCTGGACAGTTTTATTGGCAGAAGCATCCTTTTTCCATGTATAACCTTTTCCAGTCAGGAATCCCATTAGGACATGTTGTCTTGTAGGCGAGTGCTGAGTCATAGCGTGATTCATGACAAAAGCAAGGGCCGGGAAGATAAAGAGCAGTCATTTCCTATCTCCAAAGGTTTCGTATCAGGGTGTTTCTCAAACCCTTGAGCAGTGACTGCGACGTGGTTGCTGCCCAGAAAGATCATGTAGGAAATGAACTCCTAATACCTTGTAGATATCGTCGCCCTCGCTGATGGTGCCTACCATGGGAGTAGGTTTACACCTTAAGTTGCCTGCTTGGTCTCAAGGCTGCTTGTGGGGAGAAAAACTCTAGGAGTGTCTTGCTTGTCTGAGGAAGCGTGGTGGGCTGTGGGGTGTAACCTCTACTGCCAACTTAGCTGGAGGCCACTGGCAGCTTCTGGATCTCTAAGAAGGACCACAACTATTTAAAGTTGGATTTCTGTCCAGGTATTGTATAAGTACCAAGTAATGCATTTTGCTACCCTAAATGGGAACGCTCCGTTTGTTTTGTCAGGTTTCTCTTCATTCTGCTGGGACCCAAGGGCAAAGCCAAGTCCTACCATGAGATCGGCCGAGCCATCGCCACTCTGATGTCGGATGAGGTAGGTGTCTCGACATCTCCTCTGTGAAACACTTCTCCCAGCTTTCCCTTCGTTAGCTAATAACCATGTCCTGTCCTCCAGCGTGGTTGATGGGAACACACACAAAGCTGAAACACCCAAACGTCACCTCCTAACGCCATCGGTTTACATAATTATTTCATCTGTCTTCATGTTTTTTATAAAAGCATGACCATAGGCAGTTTTTGTCTGTCGTGTGTCTTCTCCTGCTAGCGATCGCTCTTCCAAACAGACTATAAATTAATCTTTGAATTAATCCTGTCGCGATGCGCGCGTTGTGTCACACTCCATGATCCCAGTAACCCACAGCTACGCTCCAGGTCATCACCGCAGAAATGGGTCCACCCAGGACATAGCGTCGCGTGTCACCCTGTATCCCAGAGCACTTCTTCATTCAGGCAGAGCTTATACATTATCCATGAGTAGCTAGTAATTACTTGCTAATCACACCCCTCAGCCAGATGACTGGGCTTTCAGGATTCATTTACGGCGTCTTCCACCGTCCCTCAGGCTCTGCGCGTCCAGGGCTGATGTACATTATGTTGCCTTCTACCTTCTCCTGATGTTGTTTTGTTCTCGTAGAGTTCTCTTCATTACCGCTCACCCCATCTCAGCTCTTCTGTTTTATGTCGTTCCACCACTTGGAGCAGGGTCTAGTTTCCATAGCCCCAAAGTCCTCCTTCCTACCACCAACTGTTCTTGTTAAGTCTAGCACGTGTGCCAATCCACCTTCACCCCGGGCAGTCCCAAAGATTTCTGTGAAATTCAGCTTTAATGCTTTTTTTTCCTCTCTTATCTCTTTCAGTAATACTAGACCTTTCAGTAAAAGTAGTTTTGGGCTTCTCATTAGTGTTTTGGAGTAACTGTTGTCATCTGTGTCACGGGGTTGAAAACCAAGCTGGTTTTTTGATAGGCTGAAGGAGATAGGAAAAGAGGATCGACACCTTCGTGGCTTTGTAAAAGTCTCTTCTCCAAGTATAACTGGAACTCCTTATTTATGGGAAAACTCTTTCTTTGGATAAAAGAAATGAATAATTGTTTTAGTAGCATTTTTTAAAAGCTTAGAAACGTAGATTTTGCTAAAAATTAGAAATATACCTGGAAGAAAACAATCTCTATCGTTAAACAACCAACCAGAGGAAGGGGCTTTCCTGAGGTTCACACACCCTTGTGCCACGTGTCCTGATAGTTTTCAAGAGGTTTTTGACAATGAATCAGTTCTTTTTGAGAGTGAATAATTTGTTTTTGAGAATGAAAAAGTTGGTTTTGTGGAATGAAACTGGGCAGCTGCCTCTGGAGTCTGGGCTAGAAGAAATGCAAACCTTCTCTACGTGGAGTCTCTCTTTTCCTTGCAGGTGTTCCACGACATTGCCTACAAAGCCAAGGACCGGCAGGACCTGATCGCTGGCATCGATGAGTTTCTGGATGAAGTCATTGTGCTCCCCCCTGGGGAATGGGATCCAGCCATTAGGATAGAGCCCCCCAAGTCTCTTCCTTCATCAGATAAAAGGTAATAGCAGCAGATTCAGCTCTCTGATGAAGGACAGTGGGCATCAGTGCTGAAAAGGTGATGGGAAAAGCTGGAGCTTTGGGTACACCAGGGTTATTGAGCAACTACAGAGTCACCTGAGTCTGTGTTTACCAAGTACAAGAGATGTTTTCAAGTCTTTCTTAACAGCTGGAGGAAGGATGTTCTTACAATTCCGTACCCTTTAAGGTGATGTTGGGGCGTATAATACCATACATAATGGTTATCCAGACTCTTTGGGGTTCTGCTTGGTCCTTCTGACACGCTACGTCCCACTCCGGCTGTCAGCATGTCAGCCTTCTGGTCTCCTTGGTACCTCATGGCTTCAGGAAAGGCTGTGAAACACTGGTTTGGAGGAACTGCGCATGGATGATGTTTTGTGGAGCCATCGGGCAATGCAGTGAGCCTCTGCTTGCCTTCTTGCCTAGGAAAAACATGTACTCCGGGGGAGAAAACCTCCAGATGAACGGAGACACGCCGCACGATGGAGGCCACGGCGGCGGGGGCCACGGGGACTGCGAAGAACTGCAACGCACTGGCAGGTCAGTAACGCCCCGCTCAGCGGGGTGCTCCTCGTGTGATCCAAGCAAGGTGGCAACGTTTGCCTTGTAGAACCTCTTCGCCCCTTCCACCTTCCATCCTGACTTGTTATTTGTATGGGTTGAGTTGCGGCGCCAAAACTTGTCCTGGGGTTTTTAGTGCCCAGCTTGAGACCGTCTGAAGGGTTCTGAACATCCAGCCCCAGCAAATTGCCAAGTGTCTTAAACGAGGTGCTCCGAAAGGAACGGAGGCCGTGGTAGGTGTTGGCTATAGAAAGGCTGGCAAGTCGGATGAGCTGTACGGGATGTAAACGTGGTGGGTTCCCGTTGGGATGGCTCGAAGTGCTTTAGCCAAAAGCACTTTCCCTTTTTCCAGACGTTCCTGTTGTAGTTGATTTGCACAGATGAAGGCTTTTATGGGCTAAGAAATTAAGACAGTAACGGAGCCCGAGGCCTTACTCTCTGCTTTATTACTCTGCTTCTACGCCACGTAAATGTTTACTAGAGTGGGAATGTGATTCAGGCGACCATGAAACAGCGTGCTTAGCCGTTCAGGGTCAATACACAGGTTTTCACCCACTCTACATTTTTGGAAGTTGTAGTAGGATATCTAAATTCTAGGAGAAAAGTTGAAGGTCTCAAATGACACGTTGGTGCGTCCAAGGCAGTCGATACATCCCGACTCTGGGTCAGAAAGTAACGTGTGATAACTGTTGTGATAGGACAAGGGGTAATGGTTTTAAAATAGAGGGAGGTAGATTCAGATTGGACATTAGGAAAAAATTTTTTACCATGAGAGTTGTAGAACACTGGAACAGGTTGCCCAGAGAGGTGGTGGATGCTCCATCCCTGGAGACGTTCAAGGCCCGGTTGGACGAGGCCCTGAGCAACCTGATCTAGTTGGAGATATCCCTGTTGCTTGCAGGGGGGTTGGACTAGATGACCTTTGAAGGTCCCTTCCAGCCCTAACCATTCTATGATTCTATGTGTGTCTGTCTGCCGCTGCGTACGGAGCGTCCGAACAGTCCTGGCGTTGGTGGTCAACTGTGGCAAGAGAACAAGAGGCAAAACAGAAACGTTTTTTCCTGCTGGCTGTGTCCAGAGCCACATGGAGTTTATAAGAGTTAAATACTGCCTTGTCCATGGTTGTACCAAAAGTGGAACTCTCTTGTTCTCCAAGATGACTTCACTTACTTGCATTTTGACTTCTAATTCTTTTTCTGCTTAACGGTTGGAAGCATTTTTCCATTTGACAGACTGTTTGACTCAGCCAACTGTTGTGTCGGGCCACGTGGAGAAATTTAGGCAGGGATTTAGACTGGCGTTAATATATTTTATTACATCAACCAATATAGTTGGGAAAAAACCCAACAGACAAGCTTCCTGAACTGCAAACTTTTGTGGTCTGTTTCAGCAGCACTAGGGCTCGTGTTCCTGAGATTTGTCTTTTTCCCACTGCATCACGTGTCCAAGATATGATCTTTCTTTACAACATTGGCTCAGTGGTGCCCCTGGACCGTCACAGCTGCGCGGAGACTGTTCTGTAATGTGATGATCTCACTCCTTTCAGATAATACTTCACATCTGGCAATGTTTCCGATGACTTATCTCGCTGAGTTGCACCGTAAAACGTCTCGCACGAGTCTTCCCTTGCTTGTCTTTTCAGATTCTGTGGTGGCTTGATCAAAGACATAAAGAGGAAAGCACCGTTCTTCGCCAGCGACTTCTACGATGCTTTAAATATTCAAGCCCTGTCGGCCATTCTTTTCATCTACCTGGCCACGGTGACCAACGCCATCACTTTCGGAGGACTGCTTGGCGACGCTACGGAAAACATGCAGGTTAGCGAGAGCGTTCGGAAGCGATAAGTACGGAATTTGCCTTTTGCCATCTGCAGTCAAAGGAGTGTTTGGCCACCAACAAAGCTTGAATTCTGGGTACAATGCATAGTGGTATCCTGCGTTTCCACTGGAAGTGGGCTTGCTTGCTCTGCCGTTGGACGGCTGTCCTTTGAAAAGTTGTCCAAGCAGTTACCTTAAATGGTGCTGGAAAGATGGCCAGGCACAGAGAATGTCCTTTCTCCTTCTACGTGGAGAAGGTCCTTGGATCTCTTCTCTGTGTTTGTGTCTCGTTTGTAGTGTTTCAGTCCAATTAAGTTTACTCAGTGTGATTCAGACTTTCCGTGGCATCAGAGCTTAGCGCTGTGTCCTTTGCTTGACTCTTACGGTCCCTGGACTTCTGCCTCTCTGGTGAAAAGAAAATCCTAAGGTTCATAGGAAGGCAAGTAAGTCAAGAGACATGGCACAGTAGTGGAAGGTCAGATCCTGAGAACCACGTTGCATATCCAGAGACAGGCTGGATCAGTGATGAAGACAGTAGTAACGGCTTCAAAGAGCGGCTGTGGTGTTAGATGAAGTCTAAAGGAAAGGGATTCTGTATTAACCCTGCTGTAGGTCCTTCATATTTGCCTGGAGCAGAAGGCATGGAATGGAATGGTTTGGGTTGGAAAGGACCTTAAAGATCACCTGGTTCCAACCCCCCTGCCATGGGCAGAGACACCCTTCACTACACCAGGTTGCTCAAAGCGTCATCCAACCTGGCCTTGAACACTTCCAGGGAGGGGGCAGCCACAGCTTCTCTGGACAACCTGTTCCAATGCCTCACCACCCTCAGTGTAACAAATTTCTTCCTTAGATCTAATCAAAATCTCCCCTCTTTCAGTTTAAAGCCATTAGGGAGCCTGGAAAGGGCTTCGACTGCAGGTTTTCAACAGCAGAGCAAAACTGTGCGTTCTTGGTCCTCAGACGTCCCTGCATCATCAGAGCCAGACGTGAAGCATCCCTAAGCTCCAGGGAGCTGCTCAGTGGGATCAGAGTTTGGGTTCACATCAAGTGTTTCTCAAACCATTGCACAACCCCCACGTAGAGTTGCTGGAAGGCGTGTAAGAGCACGAGCTGCACTGGATGTTTGTACTCGGAAATGGGAGGCAAGGTCACACCAGCTTCTCCAGCTGAGGAACAGCACCTAGAAATTTTTCCCAGGCATTTTGTCCTCGTAGAAAACAGTCGTTTTGGGACTGCTGCATCACAGTTTCTACTTCTTGTTTCCTGTAAACAGTTAGGTGCTGGGTCAGGCGCTAACGATCACCCATCTCACGCCGCCTGCCCTGGCCGGCGTTTCTTTAAAAGCTCACTTCGAAGTGTTATGTTTTTGAGGAAAAAAACACTATTCTTAGCTACAGACACGTGGAAGAATTCAGGGAAAAGAGGTTCCAGATGCGCTGGCTGCGAGGGCCCTCTCCGTGAGTAATGCAGGAGGAGCGACGGGGCCCGGCTGTGCGAGCACCACTCCTTGCCCCAGGAGCCCTCGTCTCATCCACGCAAGTCCTCTGAAGGCAACAAGCAAAGGCTCGTAGGCTCGTGTCCGTGTCCCCTGTGAAAACCTGCATGATCCTTCTGTGGAGGCTGCCAGGCGTCGCTGCCAGTGTGTCTCCCTGGCATTGGCCCCTGGAAGGGCCACGGCTGTTAGTGACTGGCATTTCCAGTAGCACTTGGAAGTGGGAAGGACTGAGGATGTCCCCTCCTGCCCAGGGGAGGTTGTTGCTGTCCACTCTGCAGCCACTTGTCTAGATCTAAGGAAGAAATTCTTCCTTCTGAGAGTGGTGAGGCACTGGAACAGGTTGCCCAGAGAAGCTGTGGCTGCCCCATCCCTGGCAGTGTTCAAGGTCAGGTTGGATGAGGCTTTGAACAACCTGGTGTAGTGGAGGGTGTCCCTGCCCATGGCAGGGGGGTTGGAACTGGATGCTCTTTGAGGTCCCTTCCAACCCAAAGCCTTCTGTGATTGTGTGATCGACAAGTGTATGATGATGACTATGACTGACAGGTGACTGGACGTGCGTCAGGACAGGCAGCTTCTAAACCTTCTGTACCTTTTGCTTCTCCGCTCTGCGATTGTGCTGCTGCTTTAATTACCCATCAATAATGGTGCTCGAGCGCTGCTATTTTGAGATAACATTTGCGGCCAGAAAAATAATTTTATGATGGCTTTAGAGAAAGTTCTCCTAGTAATTTAGTGGATAATAAAAAATAATGTTCTGCTTTACGTAGTAACATTCCGATTTGACATCCAACAGCATGAACATAATGTCCTTAGTCTAAACAGTAACTTGGGTCTTTCCAAGGAAGCGAGCCACAAAAACTTTATTGCAATTCTTCCCGTTACCACTGACTAAGTCGTAAAAACTGCGGCCCCGACCCTGCGGTTTCTCATGGATGGAAAGCAGGATCCGCGTGTGCCGTTGGCCGCTGGTTGCTCGGCACGTGCGGTATTAACGAGGCTGCTGATGGAGACGCAGCTATGACAAAGCACATGAGCTTCAACCCGCCCCTAGATGTTGGGTAGGTATTCCTGGAGAGGGGAATGCTGGCGGCCACGTGTCTGACTCAGGAGGTGATGATGCTCTTGTTGATCCTTTAAAACTCAAGAGAGGTGCAAACAGATGGTTTTCCGTAAGAGCAAAGGAGGTGAGGTCCAGTGAATTCTGCTGGGTTTGCAGAAGGATGCCACTCAGTTGATAATCACATTTTATTGCCGTTTAAATTTCATCCATGTTTTGCATTTTAAAAGTAGATATTGTCCAGCTATAGTTGGACATGAACATCCAAGAACGCATCAAGCACAGTTGTTGTCCTTCGCCCGCAAAGCTGTTTTGCCACACGTGCCAAAGGTAGCTGTAGAGCCCGTCAAATACGGAATTTGCTTGCTAGTGACATCTGATGAACTTGGGTCTCGACACATGGCTGCTGGATGAAGTAGCCTTGTTTGGTTTGTGTGTCACTCACTACAACAGTTACTTGAGAGAGAGGCATGTCGTGTATCTAGAGTGTCTGCTCAGTTGGAGAAAGGAAGAAAACCCACCCTTGGTTGTCCTGGAGGATGTAATAGAATCACAGAATGGTTTGGGCTGGAAGGGACCTTAAAAGTCATCTAGTTACAACCCCCTACCGTGGGCAGGGCCACTTTCAATGCCGTCGTCCAGCCATGCTCTGCTGTGTCTCTTTGAAGAGCCCTGCAAACACGTATCTCTGCTGTCGAAGATATATGAGATGTTCTAGGAGTTCTCAAATCATTGAAGTCATCTTTGAAAAGGCTCTCCTCCCCTTGTCAAATATCAAATGCAATATAGTGTTATTAAACTCTGGACCTCGGAAATAACCAGGGGGGTTGGTGGTTACCCTGAGCAACCATGAGTTGCGTGGGACGAACACAGCTTTGTGTGCAGCTGCAGGAGAGCGCAGAAGATGGTCTTGGATGTATCGGCATAGAGCATGTGGCCGTCCCCTGATGGAACTGCTCATTTTCTCGTAATGGTGCCACAAGCAAGGGTTGTTCAGTAGGACTCTCATCTCTTCTATGTCTACCACAGGGCGTGTTGGAGAGCTTTCTGGGCACAGCAGTCACCGGCGCCATATTTTGCCTTTTTGCTGGTCAGCCACTCACAATTCTGAGCAGCACAGGACCCGTCCTTGTCTTCGAACGGCTCCTCTTTAATTTCAGCAGGTAAGTACAAGGGGGAGGAGGGAAGGAATCATGGAATCACAGAATGGTTTGGGTTGGAAGGGACTTGGAAGATCATCTAGTTCCAACCCCCCTGCCATGGGCAGGGACACCCTCCACTACACCAGGTTGTCCAAAGCCTCATCCAACCTGGCCTTGAACACTTCCAGGGATGGAATGTCCAGTGCTAATGAAACGCTAGCTGAGGAAAAAGAAGGATAGCAGTGGGGAAGGAGGGGATTTAGTCCATGAAATGAAACATCTCTTTGTTCCTTGTTGAGACGGCAGCGCAATCGCGTGGGGGATTTTCACAGGCACACACGGCCCGGAGCGCTGCCCAGCACCAGGGTGTCTGTCTCCTTGGGGCTTCTTGGATGGTGTTTTTCAAGGAGATGGCTTTAGGTTGTACGGAGAACACCCCGAATCGCTTCTAGCCTTCCCTTCCCCATGAGGGAGCGTTGACAACTGCAAGACTCGTGTTTCAGCACCCAAAGCCCTGAACTTTGGGAGTTAAGGCGTTACTGAGCTTTCTTTCCAAAGCAGTCGCCCGCGATGTGGAACAGCTCTTTGGCCGTTGGTGGTTATTTTTAGCAAAGGTCTATTGAATTATTCAGCTGACACGGTTGCAGGTTGCCATGAGGCAGGAGACATGGTGTATGTTTGGCCGTTTAATTGGATCTCCTTCCTCGTTATATTTAATCTCCGCGGGTAGTTACTCAGAGATAATTGGGAGCACGTGATCATGTCTTTACTGTGAACACCCTACGCGTTGGAGAAGTCTTTCAAGGTGCGGGCAGGTCGAAGCCCAGGTACGGCACGTGGATGGAAAAACACTTTGCACCGTTTTGGGAGGCGACCGGTGGTTATTTTTAACCCAAGGAGGAGGGTGGTGGTTATCAAAGCCCTTGTCCTACCAGGGTGCTGGAGCCGAAGGGCAGGATTTTCCGAGGGAGTCTTTCTCACAAGGAAATTGGAATCAAGTGCTGTGATTTTTCAATAACGCCTTTGCGGCTCTTCAGATTCACAACACCCCGGTCCCTGCTGGGAGCAAAATTAGAAAGACTTCCCGTCTCCCGACTCGTTCCAAGTTTGACTCTGCATGTGTGTATGGAGTTACACCTAAAAACGCCTCTCGCACCCAGCCACGTGCCATGCTCCAGGTGCCCGCAGTTGCTCGACTCGTGTCCTGGCTGGCGAGCTCTGCTCCCATGCCGAGTCTCTCTGATGCCCGCTGGGAAACCAGCCTGGCTTTGCCAGCTGGAAAGAAGGCGCTGGGCACCCCGGGAAGGAAGGACCTCTGCCCTTCTGCCTTCCAGCCATGAAAGTTTCCCCTCCAGAGACTTTGGGAAGAAAACGGATCACGGCAGCAGTACCTAGGCTGTCACGTCGCGTACGCCAAGCGTCCCGGGATTTTGCGTTTGCTCTGTGAGCTCCAGAAGTGCTGCAGGACTCGGAGGGGTGGGGAGAAGAAAAAAAAAAAAAAATGGTTTAAAACCTTTTGAAGTTCTTGAGTGGCGCGCGGTCAGGATGCCAGCTGGGCTTCTGCCAGCTTGGATGGATGGCAGCTTCCCGAGCTCGTGGCCGTACGGAAGCGCACTGTGGTGCCCGGCAGCAAGCCCCTAGCCAGCACCCTGCCCGCTCTGCGGCCTCTTCTCCCCTTCTACCATCACAGGGTTGTAGTTCCCCTTGTCGAGGTGCTCCTTCATTCTCCACCCTGCCCTAGGGCACATTTTACACGGTGCCCTAGAGAATTGCCCTGGAGCCCCTCCATCGGCCAGGACCAGGGGTGGGTGCTCCGGGCGCGCCGTGCAGGATTGCTGCCGGGTTTGCAGATGGAGGGTGGAGGTAAGGCACAGCTCACCATGTCCTCTTGCTAATTGTGTGTAAAAACGGGCACACAGGAGATGCAGGGACGTTTTTTGCTATTACTACGCAACCTCAAAGATCATCTCATTCCAACCCCCCTGCCATGGGCAGGGACACCTTCCACTACACCAGGTTGCTCAAAGCCCCATCCAACCTGGCTTTGAACACTTCCAGGGATGGGGCAGCCACAGCTTCTCTGCTGTGTTCCAGTGCCTCACCACCCTCCATGTTAAAAATTTCTTCCTTAGATCTAATCAAAATCTACACCCTGGCACCATGTCGCCTTCTGCTCAGTGTTTCTTGATCTTCTCCTGCTGATGTTTGGTTTCTGCAGGTAGTGGAAGGGCCTGAGAGATGGACATGCAGGCTCCTGGGCATGAGGCTTGGCAGCAGGTTGCTTTTCTGAAGGAGGTTTACAAACTGCAATTATGTCTTCAGCTGGTGGAAGGCTGTTGGCGTTGAGGTGCCCTTGGCCTGGGCAGCTGGATGTTTGGGCCTTTACAGCTCTGCGCGCGTTTGCCAAGGGAGGGTTTTTACTGGGAAGCCTGGAAAGAGCTTAACTTCACTGGTGATGTTTGTTAGTGGAAGCATAAGCAAGACCAATCGGTTCTGCATGCTCTTCTGCCACCTCGGTGATTAAATCATACCGTGTATGTTGGTGGAGTTGGCAGGCTAAGGCACAGGTCCCAAAGGCTGTGCCTTCATCCCTTCTCGCTGAGAAGTCACAGTCCTGAATGGGTTTATCTAACCCCGATGTTCTCCCTTCCTCCCACCCCTGTCTTGTTGCAGAGACAATGATTTTGACTACCTGGAGTTCCGGCTCTGGATTGGCTTATGGTCAGCCTTCCAGTGTCTCATTCTCGTCGCTACCGATGCCAGCTTCCTTGTCAAGTACTTCACCCGCTTCACCGAAGAAGGTTTTTCCTCCCTCATTAGCTTCATCTTCATTTATGATGCTTTCAAGAAGATGATCAAGCTGGCCGATCATTACCCCATCAACTCCGAGTTCAAGGTGGACTATATCACGCATTACTCTTGTGCCTGCGAACCATTAGGTCCAGGTAAGAGAGTGTTTAATTAGCTCTCCTGATTGCGTTCACTTTCTTTTTCTGTTGTGCTGTGGTCCTAATAATAAGCAGATAGATTAATCCTTGATCAATTGTCTTCAGATATCCTATCTCAGCCTTGTTTGGAAGCTGAGGGGTGAGTTTCACCCTGAGTACCAGCTGGAATGTCTTTATAGCCCAACTTTCTGGGACTCCCCGTGTGAGCGTCACTACCAGTGGAGAAGCTGTCTCTGTTCCCTTGTCTCCTTGCATCCCTGTTAATTCTGAACGGCGTTCCTCTGAGAAGTCCATGACAGGGTAGAAGTGGTGGCCAAGTCACCGCCATGGTGCTCAGGTCACGCCTGATATCTGCTGTGCCATCTAGTCAAGTTCAGGAGCTGGATTTATTCAAGGCGTCACCCAAACATGGGTGGTTTTCCACCTCCTGGCTGTGCGCATGAGTGGAAAAGCACAACCAGTTCCTCGCTGGAGCGGAAGGGAAGGATATCCAACAGCTCAGCCTATGGCTAGAGCGTGGGCTGCGAGGCGGGTATAGGCAGCGTACGTATAGATCTGGCAATGCAACCGGGATCAAAAGGTTACGAAACCCAGATACGGACGGAAACACGTCAGCTCCTACCTTTAGGGAAGCTGTGACCACTCCTAGGATCCTTCAAACAATGAGGAGTGAGTAAGAAACTTGGGTTGTGCTCAAAGTAAACTCCAGGTTCTCTGGAAATAC